CTTTTCTATCTTCAACAGAAATACACTTGCAAGAAAACCTGCCAAATCTGGTGATGAAAAACAGCAGAAGTGTCAGGAACAGAGAATATATTTAACCCAAGTGTTCTAGGGCAGGCTAAGATTTTCTGGGCTGCCTTGAGACCAGGAAGCAATGTCTTGTTTTGGACAAGACTTGACAGAATTGTTGGGTTGGATTTCTGCTGGGAGTGGTAGCCTTTGCCATTCTTTTGTGTCCAGCTAGATCCTGAATACAAAACACTTACTGTGCCACAGGCAGCATGAATGAAAGGAGATGGAGGAGGAGTGTTGTTAACTTAGGCATACATCCAAGAGAAGATGGTGGGAGGTGGCTTTTCTTCATTAAGAGGCTCTCAAAACTCCCTGAGTTTTGAAACTCAGCTCCTCAAGAGTAAAAAATCCTGTTTGGAAGAGGTACCACTGTTTGGAAGAGGTACCATTGTACCTCTTCCAAACATTTGTATATAAACATCAGTATATAACACTTGGAATTCTTTCCAAGCCACAAAAACTGCAGATGTGGATGCTAGGCTGGGTTAAATTACAATCGCTAATCCTAATGGCTCACGGTTTGCCCACCCAGCCACCATATAAACTAAAGTACTGGCATTTGTGTGAAAGGAGGCAGCTTTCCAGGCCTGTTATTGTCAGACCTTGATAAAACATTATTTACGTTTATCTAATGTGCATACCGAATTTGGTTCCCCCAAACTCCCAGACATTTTTAAGCTTTCATGGCTGAAAAATGGGAAGTTGACAATAATCAGTCAGGAAAGTTCGGAAACCAAAAGAGGTGTTAAGGTTGGCCCTAGATTCTGGTTTCAATAGCGTGCTTTTATTAAATTAGAAGGAATATATAAACATTTTCTTTAGAGCTTGCACACATGATTTAAGGAGGTCAGTTTTCCCAAACTGGGCAATAATTTAAAAATATGGTTGAGCTCTGTCCCTCTTATTTTGCAACTTAGTACCTTCTGAATGAGGGTTTTCCAGACAAAGGAATCCTGATATTGATATTACCAATAAAAGGCACTTTTATAAATTATTCCATCCTTTCCTTTTCAATAAAGAAAAACATGGAACAAGTGGGGAATAAACAGAGGAGAGTTAACAAATGAAACATAACATTGCCTGGATACAAATGCAATTGTAAATTCCATGAATGAGCTAGGGAAATTGCAAAAACTTCCCAAACTTATTTCAATATTCTATATAACAATTCCACTTCATTATTATATCCATGTTGCAGATGGAAACTGAACTTTAAGAACACAGGCCTGCTAAAGTGCTACCTTAAGAGTTCATAGTTCAAGCCATATTTAGATGTTTTCAGTTCATGTTCTTTGCATCTCCAGTTTCTAGGACTGTGAAAAGTATACTCACAGAAATTTGCCTGGGTTTCAATATGCAAATTCTTCAGGCCCCAAAGATGAATTCCACATATAAATGGTATACATTTGTCGCAGTTCCTTTTTGTATAAGTTTGCTTATTTTTGCAATCATGGGGGATTTTGTTTTCTTCTTTTTTGCCTTTGAGTAAGACTTAACTCCTGGTGATTGCATGTTAGAAAGCTGCAGTTTTCTAAGCGACATTTTTAGAAGTGGTTTGCCATTGCCTCCTTCTTCCTAGGGCTGAGAGGAAGTGACTGGCCCAAGGTCACCCAAATGGCTTTCATGATTAAGGTGGGACTACAACTCAGGTTTTCCTCTCCTAGTCAAGCACTTTAACCATTAGACCAAACTGGCTTTCGTTTATTTCCCATGGTAGAATGCAAAGGGTTAATCACAGTACTGAAAAACAACCACAGGTCTTCACTTCTGTTCCTTTGCAATATAGGAGAATGCATTCTGTGATTAGTTGGTAATTCTCTATTACAAATCCAGCACATTTAGAGGGCTTCAGATTTAAGAATGCTGATCTATACAGGCCATAAATTATTTGTCATCTGGGGGTACATCTCACAATGTCACTACTAAGGCTATTCAACCTATTCAACATAGTTTCAGGAAAGATTCTAGATTTATTGCATGAACATCAATGGATTGTTTCTTTCTGCATTTGCGTGGCAGATAGCTCTTCTGTACGTGTGGAATGCTTTAATCTCATTGCATGTAATTGCATGTGTTTGGATTAAGCGGTAAATTTTCTTCAGCAAAGAGTATGATTTCCATTCAAATTTGAGCTCTGATTACTTTCTTTCCCATCCACCCACCCTTCTTTTCTACACAGTGCCTTTGGGCTCCTGATTTAATCCACGCTACTGCCGTTCCTGTAACCGAATCAAAATCTTCAAGAGAGCAGCAAGAATTAGGGAGTAGATTCAGGAAAATTCTTTTAATATAGAACATACTTCAATCATCTAGAGAATTAAGACAGCTCCCAGGCTGAACCACACAAAGATGCTGACCTCACAGCTTGGATCAAGCAAACAGTGAAGTTGACTCCTTTTGTTGTCCTTGGGGTTTTGAACCTCCCTTCTCCTCCCATCAACCTCTCTAATGTGCTCCTGGTTTTATCCTACTCGTCATTCTATATAAAGCAACTCGTGGCCCTGTAAATAGCCAGGTCTTATGATGTTGTCTCTGCTGGAGAGAGAGCTGTGGATGGTGAAGGTATTTTTAGCTTCAAGACTCAAGGGATTTGAGGATAGACTGGTCTATCTTTTATTATGAATTTGAGACAGAGGGAAGGGTCACAGGATAACATCTCCTCATCCCACTCTCTTTTTCTCAAGCCACCAGCTCTTCAGTCTTCCCTCCCTCCTCCCCTCTTCTTGCACTTCATCTCCCCGTGGTTTGAGTTCTTTTATGCTTTTACTGCAGTATCACATCCCAAAGGAAGGCTGAGTGGAGCATTCGAATGGGAATTCTTGACAGATTTTACATCTCCAGTTTCAGGCCAGTTCATCTTTCTGTGCATGTTATTCCTAAGATGTGTTTCTTCATTATCTCCTATGGAATAGAAGGGTTTTCTTTTCTTTTTCTATAAAGGAAATCTACCAACAATCTTTCAACAATTCCCAGTAATCTGCCATAGGCCAACAGATCTCAGAAAGCCAGTGTTACTCAATTGCTCTTCAGAGCCAGGGAAAAAGAGCTTAAATGTTGAACAAAAGAGACCTGTTTCTAGCAACCTCATCTGAAAAATGAAGGGCTCTTCACCCCACTAGCAACAAAGCTAGCCTACGGGCAGAACTGGACATGGCATTAAATACATCTTGCATTAAAAAAAATACATTTCTAATTAAAATTGTTAATACTGAAGGTTCCATGTAAGTGGAGGAATACATCAAGGAAAGAGAATGTGGCATATCTGTGTATGAAGTGATGCAAAGGTAGATCTAGCCTTTGTCCTTCGCATTAAGAAAGTTGACAATGTACAAAAATGGCATCAGTGTAAGAGTCATGTGAATTCATCAGAACTGATACTGAGGGCACATCCTGAAGAGAGATCATAGCAGATGATGCATTTCTCAGGAATAAGTGTTCATGGGCAGCTTTTCATGGGGGTGGCAAGTATCTTTACGTTGTCATGAACATGACATCACTATCATACCATCTCAGGCCCCATTACTCACTACAGCTAAAAGGTCTCCTCAAGTCAGAGCAAGGGGTTATAATATGGAGAGCAAGGTTCAAATTGCAGGGGTGGACAACACAAGAAACTCTAACCTCTTAACTGTAGGGGTTTTTTTAGAAAGCTATGGGGGAGGGAGGAGGGCAGCCTTTGACTCAAATAAGGGGGAAGAAACTGGGAGTGGGCTTGTTGCTTTTATTCTTATCTTGCTGTCTCATAGCAATTATCCACCATTTGCACCTTGTGAAACTACAAATAAACTCCCACTGCATCTGCCCATGAGAACAATACTTTCTCTTTGACAGAAAAAAAAAAAGTTACAGTATGTGTTCTTATACCGATCACAGAGGGAGAGAAAAAGAGAATTGGTGTATATATTTTTGTTAGCCAAGATGTGACCAAACCCATTTATTTTTTACCATAAACACTGCTCAGATGTAAACTAAACACCTTACTAGACTTCACAGAAGGGTGGGAAGTGGGGAGCCATTACTTAGATCTACCTGGAGGTATTTCCTGAATGCTAATCAGGGAGAGACAGGAAGAGGTACAAAGTCCAAGGTTAGCAGGTGAGTATTTATAAGGAGGAATGACAAATGTGTGGCCTTCCAGAGTCTGTGGACCATTCTGATGCTGGCTGGGGTTGATGTGAGTTGTAATTTCTTAAGAGGAGCAAGAAATTTCCTCAACATCCTATAAATGATGTAGCCATATAAATTAGATTGTAATAAAAGAAAAACATGCAAGCATGTGAGTCAGTTTGTCTTGAGAAAGAAATGCTGTAGGCTGTTGTTGAAGTGGCAAAATACTAAGAGATGAAGTGCAATTATAAGGCTTAGGTTAGGATTGTTCCCAGCTGTTGATCAAGAGGTGTAGATCCTGGGACTTGTGCCCAAGCAACTCCACTCCACCTGAAATGATGCCTAGTCAAGCCACTTTCCGACAATAACATGGGACAGGAAAGGGATCTGGAAAATATTCCTGCTCTCAGATAAAAGCTCTTTTTCTCAGTGGGTATGTAGAGAGAAGCTGGCCCTGCATTCCAGTCGGGAGCAAGGACTCTGTGGTCTGGGGGTATTAGGGGAAGACCGAGCTTCTCCTCAATCTGGACGTGTTAGATTACAGCCCCCATTACTCCAAGCCAGTCAACCCAACCCGCGCACACCTGCTGGCTGGGCAGGGCGGGAGTTGTACTGCATTAAGTCTGGAGGGGAGACGGATCGAGGAAGGCTGAAACGAAGCCCCATTTTTCACCTCGATACTTTCTCCTGCCAAGAGCCCTGGGCCATGTCCGTCTGCCTTGGCGCCCGAAAGCCCGTTTCTCAGAAATACCTAATAAAGTTTCGGTGCGAAAAACGACCCCCCCCCCCGGCCCCGGCTTTCCCTAGGCGAAGGACGGACTCACAGGGCAGCCTCCGGCTGTGGCCGTGATGGGCTTCGGGTCCTGACATCGCTTTCCGAGGATAAGTACGCGCTGGTTCGCCTGGACAGTCCACGGCCTTCCCGGGCAGAAGCGCTCTCTCACAGCAGATCCGACGCGAACGCTCCCGCCGCCCCGAAGCGCCTTCTCATCTTCCCAGGGAGTGGTCCAGCTGGGGGACTCCTCCGGCCACGAGCGTAACTCCGGCTGTCTGGCTCAAGGCAGGGCTGGCGGGGACTTCGGGCAGCAGAATGTACCAAGTGGCTGAGCAGCGAAGGGGGTGGAGGCGCAGATCGCGGGCGGGGGTGTGTGTTGCTCTTCGCGCCGACTTTCCGTCCGCCCCGTTTGGCGAGGTCGGAAGCGGAGGACGAGGCGAGGAGGCTGGAGGTGCCGCAGACATTCCCGAGCGCATCACAGCCCACACGGACTCGCCCGTGTGTGTGTTTCTTTAAAGCTGATTTTCGCAGCGCCGCTGTAGGCGTGAAAGGCGGACGAGGATTGAGGGGGGAAAGGCACTGGCGGCAGCAGTCAGAGAAGAAGAGGCTTAAGGCTACAAAGATGGGCCGTCAGGGCTGGACTCCGGGGCCGATCAGCGGAACGAGCAGAAACTCAGCGGCTTAGGCGCTCCTCATTCAGCCCACCTTACCTTGCAGGGCTGTTGTTGTGGAAAGGAAATGAAGGAGGAACTATGTCCTAGGTAGCAGCCTCGAGCCCCTAGAGACATTGGAAATACGAAGAAAATGATAATACAGCTGATATAGCCTCAAATGTATCTTCAGACAAGTGAAAGCCAGCGGGCTATTTCGTTCATTCAAAAGGGTACGCGCCAAGCACGTAGAGTTCAGTTTCGGCTGAGTCTCTCACGGGTTCAGTGAGGAACTGGGAATTTCAGCCGCGTACTAAGTGGGGAGATGAAGCCCCGGTGCTCTGAACTGTTTTGCATTTATGTGGGGAGCAGAGACGCGCGCTGGTCTTCCTTTGCACCTCGCTGCAGAGGGAGCTCAGGCGTGGAGGGCAGGCGGTGCAGCGCGTGTGAGAAACCGAGTCTCCTCGCTTGCCTGAAAGCGCCTTTTCCGACTAATAATTTTTATTAAAGGGCCTAAGCTTTCGTGAGCTGTAGCTCACTTCATCAGATGCAATCATATTCTTTGCCACCATAGACTAACACGGCTCTCCTCCTACATTCTCGCTTGTCTGATGATATTAGTGATAAATGCTTAGGGCTTCTAAAAAAAAAAAAGTGTGAGGTACAAAGATCAATGCTGTAAAAAAAAAGCTACTTAAGCAGCTAATAGTTCTGGGAGTCCATTGTTACTTAATCCGCTGGTAGTGTCTAATGTCTCCCGTGCACACAGATTTTCTCTCCTAGATATCCTGTTCTGTTGAAATGATTTGATCTGCTTTGATCTATTATTAATCAGTTCGAAGTACTTCTGTACATTGAGCACAATTAATTGATGAGATTCAGTGTGCTACTTGAGATGCAGTAATGGCTGCTACCTCAGATAAATGAAAGGATGATGCTATGAATGGCTATTAACTAGGATGGCTAAAAGAATCACCATATGTGGGAGAGAGAACTGGGGGGACAATCCTGCCAGACCCCATGTTTCTCTGCTGATGGATAAAATGGCACCCATGGTGCTGAATTCAGCTCAAAGCAGCTGAAATACCTGATTTCAGGATTTAGTATTCATTTAGGGTGCATCCTGTAGTTCTGTAATTAGGCAAAAATATTAACCAGTCTTTATGGGCACTGAAGATAATAATACGTAATAGCCTTTTTCATACATACATTTTCTAAATCCTGACTCACCAATGCCTTAACACTGAAGAGCAATAATGCAGTACTTGAACAAAGGGGATAATTATAGGCTCCAACATCTAGGGGATGTCCCTTACAGCCCTTTGCTAACCACATTTGCCCACCTCCTCTTGCCATTTTTGGTGCCACTTTGATTGACAGATACATATCACTGTTATATTTGTAAGATATTGGTTCCTGATTCCTGATGCTGCCATGCAAATAAATCAGGGGATGAGAATTTCACAAAGTATAATGCTGCTAATTATGCAGCCAGGTCACCATAAAGGACAATGGCACTCCAGCTCTAGCTGTATAATAGCCTTTCCAATTTTACCGTTTGTTACTTCAAGTGTCTTCTCCTTCCAGAAGGTTGTCTCTGAGTCTTTACTGCATCTGCTTTGACTCATGGCTGACCATGGGAGAAAAAGATGTAGTGACAACCAGATCTTTTCCCCATTCTATGCCATTGACCAAATCAGGCTGGTTTTTCCACCTTTAGGGATGATTTGTTACCTCCAGGGCAAGAGAGTACCCTAGAGACTCATCCACACAAGTCACCATCGAACACATGTTTGGCTTCCTCCACCAAGTGATCTTCACAGGGGTCCATTAGCATCCATAATCACAGTGCCACTATGGAAGGTCTCAGGGACTATGATGGAGATGTGGGCCTGACTTGTCCCCTTTTCAGCCTTATGCCCCCCCCCCCAAGGTTGGAGGACTGGTACACAGAGAATTCCCAGCTAACACATCTGGAAGATATCAAATTCGAGGAGGCTGTCTGGCTCATTGTGCTACAGGCTTCCTTAACTCCCTTGCTTGCCTTGGCTTTCCTTTCATGCATTTCTCTTTCACTTCAGGCTGCCTCTCAGATTTTGGACCAAACTTTTTGTCTTTTCCTTTGGGATCACTTCCTTGGTTCTTGTATCATCAGAAACAATGGAGCCTTTCCATGTCAACTGTTTCTCACTAGGTGACATTAGGCAAGTGACTGCATTGTAGAGATGAAAAGTGAAGGTTCCAAGAACTCATGTCTGCACCCATATTATGGAGCAGGAGGAGAGAAGCCATGGGATTCCAAATGCTGTTGAACAAGAACTAGCCTGCATGGCCAATGGTGAGCTATATGTGATTCAGCAACATGAGGAGGGCCACAGGTTCCCACCCCCCTCCCATGCACAGAGTGAAGAACTAAGAAGGTTGGAGCTGTGTAAAGATGGGAGGAGAATTCCCAGACAGAGGAATTTGGGCATTTTATTGAATTTTCATGCACTGCAATCACCACTGAATTCTGTTTTTGCAGTCCTGTTTACACGCAGAGAGAGGTATGTCTAGAATCTGCTTATTAACAAAAGAAGTATTTTTAAGAGTCAGAGCTACAATCATCAGAGAATTGACTCACTGCCAGTTTAAAAGGTGGAATTAAAGTTGGATTTTGTTTAAAGCTGTCCTTTATAAAAGGAACTACCTTGCCAAGTTGTTTGCACTTTTTTAATTCAGGCAATGCTCTTAGTATAATTTGCTGAACACAACACACAGTTTTTCTGTCTATGGATTTGATACAGGAGATTTAATGGCAGGAAAGAGAAAAAGTTAAATGAAAAAGTATGACTATATGCTTCTTCTTTTTTTTTTTTTTTTTTTTAGGCTTAAATCCTAAGTCATTTTAGGAGCAAGCAGTACGTTATATATAAATGCTGCCTTCTCTGCCAGAACCTTCCTGTTCCTAGTGCAAATAAGAACTGATAGATTACAGTTCCCATATAGCTCAACCAGCAAAGTTGGGGGTGGGAGTTCAGGAATTAAATCTAATATAAATGGGAAGCATCAGGTACAATTCTGTATGACTTATCAGACAGGCTCTCATGGCATTTGAAAATGAACCAGAAGAATGAAGCCAATATTACTGAGGGTTCAAACATCCCTTGTGAAGAAAGCTTTGAGAGTTTTTAGTCAATGGGGAAGAGAAGGAGACCCCGCCTAAGCTATGGCTATCATTTGTAAAATGATGAAGATCCTCCCACCTAATACTCATAGAATTTATGATCACTTAATGGAACTGGTTGGAGCAGAATCACAACATACCAAAAAAAGGGGGGGAGGGAAGGGCTATTTTATTTATTTTTATTACTGACTTAGAGTTCCCTGCCACAAAAGTTTTGTGACTCGCATAATTATGTGCATTGTGCATTGCATAAAAATCAGGCAGAGTTTTGACTACACTATTATGGCTGCCATGTTGACTTTTTGACTACACCCTGTGGACAGCCCTGTTGCAGGTTTTGGGGTTGGGTTTTTTGGGGGAGGTGTGTCTTCGAGTCAGTGTTGACTCCTAGCAACCGCCTGGACTAGTCCCTGCAGTTTTCTTAGCAAGATTTCAGAAGTGCTTGCCACTGCCTCCTTCCTAGGGCTGAGAGAGAGTGACTGGCCCAAGGTCACCAGCTGGCTTTGTGCCTAAGGCAGGACTGGAGCTCACAGTCTCCCGGTTTCTAGCCTGGTGCCTTAACCACTACTGTACACCAAACTGGCTCTGTGGCAGTAGCTGGCAGAAAAAGAAATTATGTTTTGGCTTAATTGAGCAGAAAGTTTTTGCGGCTTTTAAGTAGAGTTAGGGTTGTTGTATGTGTCGACCAAGCCCATTGTTGTGGCCCCAACACTCTAGGTGACACCCCCAAAAGTAGGAAGACTTACCTCTGAGTCAAGCCTTTCTCCTGCTAATTTTATGGACATGTCTACACAGTTTTATTGGCATGATATGGTAGTAGCTTGCCATCACCTTCTTCCTGGATGATTTTTAGATTTCTCAGTCTAGCCTACTGCAGTGGTATATTCTGGCAGCCTCCCAACAAATGCTAACCAATCAACAGAGATGATTCTGTTTAATTTAGATCAATGTTTCTCAGTCTTGGCAGCTTTAAGGCGTGTAGACTTCGACTCTCAGAAGTAAAGCTCCCAAGATTGAAAAACACTGATTTACATCAACTAAGATCAGGTAGATACTACTATTCAGCAAATTATGGTGGCATGATATTGTGGAAGGCAGGCAGGCAAACAAACAGTAACATAAATTACAGTAGTAAAACTCTGATAGATTTAATGCATTTGTTTTCTGTACAAAGGGCTGAAATTCCTGGCCTCCTCTCTGCCAGAGGCAGCACTGGGTCAAGTGCACACCCTCCTCTGGCTTCCAAAAAGTATGGCTTTGTTGATTGCCCTTGATCTTAAAGCTGCAGTATGACCTGTGGCCTGAGTTTCTTGAAACTCAGTGGGGCTTTCCTATTGTAGAAATGTAGTATAAATGTCTTTCAAGTACTGTACCACCTATTTGTGAGACTCTTCAGTGTTTATTTTAACAGGTTAATGAGTCAAGATGTTAAAAGCCAGACAGTAGATGGACTAATCATTTTTATTACTTGACAGTTCTATTAAAAACAAGGACGT